CGCAGCTCTCGGATCCACAATCGATTTTAACGACTAAGACAGAGCTTCCGTCTTCATTTTTGACTCCGTTTCTACCTCTGCATCAAAGAACAATTCTGCATAGATGGTATCAACAATTTACCTTTTGACTTGGATGATAGATGGTCTTGATCTCAATATCTCAAATTAGTATTGCATATTTCTTCGCAAAGCGGAAGCTTACCCCATCGAAATGGGCTTCTTTTTATGCACGTCTGATATATTCTATATTCAGACCTTGGGCTTTCATGCTGAGTTTACAGGTGCTGCTTGTAGTTTTCTGTCAGAAAAGATATGCGCAAAAATTTTGATATTTGATCGCCTGGTTTGCTTTTTGCTGTTGTCATCTTCTTTTTAGTCAGCTGCTTGGTTGCCCTTAGGTGTGCAATTTTCCCTACTAAAGAAGTAACAGAGGTAACATACTACAGATAGTGCTGCCTTTTTCATTGTATATTGCTCGCTTATTGCAGGTCCTTAAAGATTTGATCTTAATCTCCCAAATGGTGTCTGTCTTCTTTTTGTCGTACAACTACTAATCTCTGCAGAGCACTCGTCTTTTCTCGTAGAGTTTTTTCCCTGTTGTTGTCATATTTATTATCTCCTGCTCATACAAAAAGCATGATCGCACTGGAGGAAGACAGAGGTGGTGCGGTTGTTTTGATAAGCGATGAAGACGAGAATCTAAAATTTTAGTAAAGGGTGGCAAAAGGAAACTGAGTTGAGATTAGAAACGCGCTGATACGATACACTGTAGGAAAAACAAATGTAAATTTGCGGTGTTTGATAGCAGGATCAAGGATAGAGAAGTGGAAGAAAAGAAAAGACAGTAAATTAGACAAGGGAAAGTGAATACATAACGCCCTAATATCAGGAATGTCCTGTATATCCTGTGATGCCGTTGAAGTCAATTCAAAAACTTGAATTTGAACATTGCCCCTTTAGATTCGACCTTAACACTATTTGACACGACCTGGTAAATGTTGTTGTTTATCATGTTCTCACAAATAAAAAAACAGCATGAAATCCTTCTGCCTATATTTTGTCGTAACAAAAGGAACTGTACACTACCCATCTAAAATAATAATTTTGGTACTTTGGCCATTTAAAATGAAGGGGTGAATGTCCACACTCCTACAATAGTTATTGCATCCCTAACACCACAAAGTCATTTGCTTAGCCACAATGTCCTCTGAAGCATGTCGAAGGGATTTAGTTTGCGCGATGTTTATGTATATTTTCTAAAAAGCTCTTTTGCCCCGTACGAAACGCCAATTTTTAAAAAAAACGCTCCTCATGACGGTACCGTCGTACCCAACCAAAGGTTCGAAAGCAAGTCTGTGCTTGTCGAACAAATTCGCGCTGTGTTTCAAAATTTGGCGATGGAATCTCTATCAAGCGGTCTATAATTGGCAAACTTGTTTACACCTGATGCGATTGTGGTGGAAAATGTCGCAAGAGATCCGCTGATGAGCTTATTTGTAAAACCGGAACCAGGCTTACAGAATGTATATTTTTGAAGCTCTTGGTTTAAATAAAAGACGGACACTGGCATTACCAGTTAAGAGTGAAGCAGCACAATCCTCAAGCTTCAACGGACATGGCCATGCATCCAGGCTCTCGTATAATTATACAGTATGAAAAGCGTCGTGGAAATGATTCGGTGGCGGCTAAAATAACTGCACGACAGTGTTGCATATTGTTGACGCAGGAATTTCACATCACTTGCAACTTCGCAGAAATTTTATTACAATCCCGAAGGGTGAAGCTATTAATGACTGTACGCAAGCTGATTGCCGAACTTTTTACATCGTGCATATAAGCCTGTCTGTATGTATGTGTGTCTGTATATGACGCGGCTTGGTGCTACTAAAACGTACTGAGTACGAACAAGCCTGTCCTCCTCTCAAAGGCATAGGTATTTAAAAATCAGTATTTGGCTGGGTTACTATATTGGTGAACGTTTGTGATTGACTTAAAATTGATCGAATGTGAATATGATCCCGTAAGTAAACGCTGGATGCTTATAAGAAAAGGCCGATCGCGTTTCCCAAGTATACCGTACTGATTTCATACAGACATTAACAGCATCATACTCATTCTTCAGTGAATGGTGCTGTATAGCGTTTTACAACTTTATCATTTTTTTTTAAAAAAAGGGTACTTATACCAAGAGGCGAGCTTCAGAGCTTGCTTCACTATTCATGTCAAGTACAATTTGCACAAGATGTAATTGGATGGAAGGTCGTCTCTTCAGGATTTTCTGGATCATTTTGATGTATTTATATCGACCTTTACAATACGGAATTTATCTGGGAGGCGTGTTACTCATTTGTTCCAGGCGCATCAGAATTCTGTTTTCTTGACGCAACGGTACATCATTGTTCTTATCCTGGACTGTGAATACGAATCAAATTGCTTTAAAGTGCCTCTGCTTACTATCGTTGACAGAAGTGGAAAACTAAATGTGTTTTGCAGCGTTAGTCTTTGTATAAGGGTAAGACAGGGGTAATTTTTGTCTGGGTACTTTAGTAATTACAATAAATGTCAGGGTTTGAGCTGGAATATGTTTGCGCCAACCACGACTTTGCTCTTGCTGGCACTGTACAAGTTCTCTTTTCAAGCAGCGCTCATGTATTGCGCAGTTGGTACATTGAGATGAACGTAATTACAAATTGTGAGACATTTTGGACGAAATAGGACTGTGATGGCTTCTTACACACTTGAAATAAAATGCATCATGCAAAAAACGATTGCGAGTTTTATGACCATTGAGCTGCGTCGCAAACGACATAAGCTGCAAAACCAGAAGTCGCCAAAGTTTTTTAGCCCAAATTTTCCATGCAGAACATGTCGTAAATGCGCCAACTAAAAATTGTGTCACATTTTGAAAAACGTCGACTTCAGCAGTCGAAGGTTTCCATTCGGCGTTGAAAAGGTACCCCATTTGCGTCGTGTGTTTGATATTTAATAGATTGTGATTTTTATCACATCTTGAATTAAAAGTGTTTGCTTCGTATCATCACCACCTTGTGCAAAACCCATACACGAGCACGATGATCATGCTACAGTATGGTTACTATGCTAACTACGTAATATCCTTTGCTGTTTAAGAATGGATGAAGGTCATAATATCTTGTTGGGGGCTAAATAGGGGACGCTAGGTTTCAATTTCCTGCTGATAACACTGTACTTAGTACCAGCATTAGAAATGTATAAAACAAGGCCTCATTTTCAAGTAAACTTTACCAGCAAAAATCAATCAGCAGTCTTGCAAGTTATCGAGTGAGCCAATGATGAGCCTTCAGTTACGGCGAACGGGCATTTCATCTCGTGGACATTTTTATTTGATTATAGTTGAAGGTCTCTTATTGCATGGAAGATTCTTTTCATATTTCAGACTTTACACGTTTCTGATGCGTATTACTGCGATTGCGTACCATTAAGCGGCTGCATGTTTGTCAACGGCTGACGAGCTGGTTACAGCGTGTCGTAGACAGCTTTGAGAACTAAAAGAGACATTTTAAGAGAGTCTGAGTGCGTGGTGATGGTGCTTATAAAATGAAGTGTACGTTGTCGAAATTTCTATGGATCTACATCATCAATTAAAAATCAATCGAATATTATTCAGCATCAAGTATAGAATAAATGGATGAGCATTGTCGATCTGTTGCGCTGCTGGGGGTGCTGCAAGCGCCTTTACTGCATTTCATTGCTATCAAGTCCTCGGAAGTGCCGACCTCTTCTTTCTGGAGCATTTTTGTGTTGCATAGCCATCCTATTGTGATAGTTCGCCTAGCGCGTCATGGGCGTCTTCATCAGAGTCCAAAGCTGTCCTATAAAGTTTGAATGAAACCTTTCACGCTGCATCAACAAGGGAGTGATTGACGCTTGTAAAGTCGAATATACATGGTCATGATAAGATTTAGTCGTATGACTTATGACTCTGAGACCCGGCATGACAGGGAACGCTTATTCGCGAAGGATGAATGCCCCGCATCAGCTCCCTATTTTCATGATAAAAAGTGGGAAAAACGTGAATAACTCGGTAAAAAAACGTTTCAAACTGTAAATAATTCTCTGAGCTGTTAACCGAACATCTTTAGGCTTTCAGGATTTACGAACAGAATCGAAAGACAAGGGAATAAGAAGCGCGATTGACACGAAAAGATGATAATGATAATCAAGAATGATAAAAGTAGAAGCTGTGCTGCAAAGCTCTGGCTGGTACCAAGGTAAATGAATCTCGTGTCCAGAGCGTCACAGCTATGTCCTGACAAGGCGATCGTTTTCAACTCCGCCACACCATCCACTCTACAGAAAACGAAATGATCTTGTTACTTGTGTTTCTCCACATCTCAACGGAGCTTGCCACCACTTAATTAAGTCTCTCCTGGCAACATCAGCTTTGCCCTCCACATCATTATCTTCGGGCCTCTCGTCTTGCAGTGCGAATAGTACCATGTGAGATCCCAGTATCTGTCATATTCTTGCACGATTTGGTAACGACCGGATTCGCAGCCACCGCAACTGCTGTTGTGTCACATTCTGCTGCGTAATGGCTAGACGTCTGCGGATGTCGTAACCGCTGTCAACGGTGTCGTAGCCAAGTGCCTAGAATAGGTAGTCTCGTACACTGTTGGAAGCTAAATAGCACCGTGATGCTCAGTAAATTACTACAAACGTATGCCCTGGTCATCTAAGATCGCTCTAGATCCATGACCGGTCAATGCGACAGTGATTGTCCCTTGATCAAAGCGACCAACTAGTTAACATTTTACTAACAAGGTAACAGATAACAGAGGGGGCAGACATCTCTTCTTACTCATTGCGACACTTGGAGCTGACCAACAAAAACAGCAATTTAGCTTAAGTTCGTTTGCAATAAGTACGCTTACTCATGCCACTCGGTCCACATTTCGGCTCGAAATAGAGCATACCGCCAGTATAAATTGCAAGCAACTTACTTGCATTCGTTGTCCCACATGACCTCAGCACCCAAGTCCGTGATGCGCTACGATGTGCCCAACGGCGACTTTTGCTCGTACTTAAAGGGGTTCTGGAAGCGCAACCTAGAGTGGCACCACTTTGGCTCGAGTTTCAAGCACCTGCGTACGACGAACAACGTCGTGCTTATCGAAGAGGATCTTGACGCAGCACGACAGCCGAACACACAGTGCGTCGTAGCACGATCTAGTCTTCATTGCAACTGCAAAGGACAATTATTGGAACAATTATTGCTCCACATTTGATGTTCTAAAAATCAGTGGGGTTACGATAATGGTGTTAGGTTCCTTCGATGGTCATTCGGACGCACGCACAAAAAACAGGATCTTGCGAGTGCTTATACGGTGCAGGTGAGAGGACTTTTTTTTTCACTTGACGACATCTCCAGCTCTTGTTGGCTTGGCGGTGGTGGTCGATTAACACTTTGTCGATCGTCTGTCTTGCAGTTTATTCCCGATGAGCAGAGCACGTTTATGGAATGGAGTTTTGAAGGCGTGACGTGCCACGGCATCTTCAAGCCCGAGGCTAGTGTGGCCACGCTCAACTTTTGTCTCCAAGAGTCCATGGTCACGATCACATACCGTGTCCTCGATGCCGATAGTGAGTCGTTCGTCCGCTGCTTTGTGCTTTCGCCTTGAACTTGCTTCGAGATGAGAAAACGTTATTGACGTTGGTTGCGGTATTCTCAATGTTGTTTCGTAGCCATGGCCGTGTGTATTGTCGACGTCGACAGCGAACACACGCCCACTATTCAATACGGGAACATGTACGTGCTTGCTGCAAGTGACACAATGAGAAACCGATGTTTTGGCTCATTGTCGTACGTACGATTTTGGGTTGCAGGTACCGCATTAATCCGTCCAAATACGAGCGCGAGCTGGTGGACTGAGCTCCTTGAGATCGCACTTAACCGAATTGCAAAATATACAATTTGGCTGAGGTTTTATCCCAAGTCGATAATGACTCGCAAGCGCGTGGCGATCGGAGGCACTTTTGCGTGTGATGAAGCACTGGCCGTGCCCTTGCAGCATCTTCTACAGCATGTCAGTACCTTTGTTGTTCGTGCACGTTGTATCATCTGCTGGAGCTGGTGAATGCCGTTGCGGTCCACACTGCCTGCGAAAAACGTTGTGTCGGGCTGATTCGACCGTAAACTTCATCTTTCCCACGGTCGTCTCATTGCTGTGTCTGTGGTCCATAAAATGATCCGCAATTTAATGCAGGCCGTACAAGGCGTCGATGTGGACTTGCAATGGCTACGGTATGGCAGTCTGGCAAATTTTGACGAGTGGTCGAGCAACGCACTGCAATCGTCGCATCCAGTGGACTTGGTACTTTTACTTGTTCGCCTGAGTGACCTTAGAGCTGATCATCCTGAGTTGCACGTCAAGAAGGATATTGACGACGGTGTCGGTTCACTTGCAGCAGAACTTTGTCGATTCTCGAGCGATCTTGAGCGATACGATAGCATGGGCGTGACCACTTCTTCACCCCCGCTGGTGGTTATGCTGTGTCCGTGTCCACCGACTAATTCAGCACATTTCGCCGCCATGGAGCGTGCGATTCAGGTTAAGGCAGAGGCATTGCGAAACGTGACCGTGCAGTCGGTAGAGCAGCTTATGACACTCTTTCACCAGCAGTATGTGGCTGCGTACTACGACGCTGTCGCGGAGAAGCTCCAGCATTCGCCGTACACTCAAGCAATGTCGAACGTGCTGAGTCTATCGTTGTGTCGACAGATATGTCGCCTTTTTCGTTCCGCCAGCCACCATAAGAAAGTGATCGTTCTGGATTGCGACAACACGTTGTGGGGCGGGGCCGTCGCCGAAGTTGGTGCTAGCGGAATCGCACTAGCGCCGCGTTTTCTCGCACTTCAGCGTTTCATTGTTGCGCAGCAGGAACGAGGTATGCTGATCGCACTTTGCAGTAAAAACATTCTCGCAGACGTGACTGAGGCATTCACGCAGCGTCGCGGTGACATGATACTCAAGATGGATCAACATGTGATCGCCGTCAAGGCGAACTGGCAGCCGAAATCAGAGAATATCGCACAGCTCGCCGAAAAACTTTCGCTTGGTAAGTAAGCCTTCATTTGCTACGAGCAGATCTTTTGACTCACGGAGTTCTTCTGCCTTTGTTTGCTGGTGTTCTGTGAGTATCATTCACGAGTAGGACTGGACTCGTTCATTTTCATCGACGATAACCCTCTCGAATGTCATGAGGTCGCGGCTGCACTGCCCGCCGTTACCGTCATTACACTTGGCGCAAATTTTTCGGAAAAAGTTCTGGATGAAGAATGGGTTTTTGACCAAGGTCTGGGCACTAACTCACATAAATTAGGGGCAAGTTCCAGCACAAAAGAAGACAGCGAGAGAACGCAGCTTTACCAACGGAATCTGAAGCGGAGTCAACTTTGCAAATCGTCGGCAACGCACAAGGCGTTTTTGAGTGCTCTTGGCGTAAAGATCGTTCTCGAAGAACTTGATCGTGAAATTGAGCTCCAAGGGAAGAGTGCTTCATTTACTCGAGTTCTCCAGCTGCATCACCGTACAAACCAGTTTAACACAGCAACTACTTTTGCAAAGTGTCTGGCGGAAAAGGAGCTGCTCAACTACGTCGCTCTTCCAAACCATACAGTCGTCTGCGCTCATGTGACTGACCGGTTCGGTCATTACGGCCTAGTCAGCGTTGCTCTTTGTCAGCATACCCGTGACAACGATGCCTTGCATGTTGACAGCTTTTTGCTTAGCTGTCGTGCTCTGAACCGCGGTGTAGAGCATGCTATGATGCGAAGACTGAGCGAGATTGCAGCAAAAGCAGGTTGCACGTCGCTCGAGTTTGATTGGGAACCCACAGAGCGGAACAAGCCAGCACATGTGTTCTTTGCAGCATTGCTAAGTGTGAAGTTTGTAGACACAAGCAGTCAGCTTTGTCGGACAAATCTTAGCAGCCATTTGCATGGCACCTGGGTGATTCCACGTGATAAAGCAAGCGATGTGTCTTTCCTCAAGGCTGATGTCGGATGCCATCACGATAGCTCGAAGGGAACGATGGGTGGATCTCTTAGCCGTCGACTCGTTTGGCGGCTCCAAGAATTCGGACTTTCAGTCCTCGGGTGGATACTGTCTTCTATATCGATACCGCGGGGGTTGGCACATTTATTCAGGCCGCCCAGTGTCCACCAGCTCGAACATACCGGGTCTGTTGGGTTATTGCGTGTGCCTCTCCGCAATCGTGGCAGTTTAGAGCGATTCCTCGATCCCGTTTTGCACGACATCCCAAGCGTGCACGGCTTCGTGGGCTCCAATGGCGACAGTGTTGACACAAATGCTGACAAATTCAGAAGGAAGGCACGCCACCAAACGAAGCTGGTGCTTGCAAAGTATACTCCAGAAGAGGCGCCACGCGTGATTTGGTCTTCCAGCCAACCTCAAGCTGCGGCCACTGGCGACCCCAGTATCGATGATGTAGCCTTTCCATCCGTGAGCCTCCATCTCATTTGTAGGTCCCCGCAGTGCTCGACAGTTGTCCAACGTGATAGTCGATGTGCCCTTCAGCGCTGCCGAATTTGCTGCTACCGGATTCAACGGCTTGTGATGCGCTCAATACACCACGAAAATGCGCACGCTAGACAGTCGGCTGTTGACGCGCTTCAGGTGGAACTCGTTGGCGTTGTCTCGTTAGTATCCGCGACAGCATCATGCAAAGTGCACCAAAACGAGCGGCGGCGTGGGGAGATAATTAGACGCAAATAATCGAAATAGAAGACTACAACTATGTGTGGAGTGGTCTGGTTGCCGTCGCTTGCCCTTAATCCTTTTATTTCAGCCACCACTGCTGTCGCTGCCATCATTGCTGTGTTCGTCCAAGCTGTCACTGCTGTCGACGTCATTCCCATCATCCTCCGCGAGCAAGCCCACACTGCCATCACTATCGCCACCACTTTCACTGTTAGAGCTACTGTCGCTGCTGCAAGTGTCCTTCTTGCATTCTTCAGCACTCTCTTCCTCGTTTTCATCGATGGGACCATACAAGGCTTCGTACCTCTCCACCCATAAAAGCACTTGCACTTCTTTCGCAGTTCGCGCACATCCTCCGCTTTTTAACTTCTGGAGAATTGCTCCAAGTGTGTTGCAGTTATTCCTAAATTTGGGCGAGGTGAGCTTTCGAGTAAAGCGAGCTGGCATCCTCTGAAGCAGTCTGTAATAGTGCATCGGTAGAATGCTTTGCACCGTTTGAGCGATGTCGACGCGAGTGATCACACCAATTAGCCCATTGCGGACGCAAACCGAATGGACCGCATCAACAAAGACCTTGTCATCTATGTACACGATCTTCTGTAAGACAGGCTTCAGCATTCGCTTGAGATTTATCAGTCGAAGTCTTCGCTGGCGGACGAACATTGCTGCTTTCTTGCGCATTGTCTCCTCCACGAGATGTTCATCTGGAAAGTGTGGGTTTGGACAAGGCAGAACACGCTTCATCTCCTCAACAGCAGCCTTAGCGAGGTCTGCCGTCACTTCAAAAATACCCTTCGTTCTGTGACGATGCAGGAACGTGGCAATGGATTCCTCGTACCGCATCATCAGCCCACTGCCACCGTACGCTTCAACGTTTTTCTTCAATCGATGTCGAAAAAAGTCCACGCAGCGCGCCACCACTTTTGACGTCGGCACTAGCATGTCGGAGTGACGCAACTTTTGGTATATCGTCGTGTAAATGTGGTGGGCCGTGGCTTTTGGATTGTTGTAGACTTCTTCTTCAACCATTCGGACAAAACACGGGATCACTGCTGGCGTTGCGAAAGCTGCATCAGCTTTCCGCTTTCTTCGAGATCGTTGGTTGCTTGAGCCCAAAAAGCCAACTTCAGACTCTAATGTCTCGTAAAGCTCCTCTACGAATTGCTGGTCCACTTCTTTTACTTTCCCTGTTCGTGTCACCATCACTTTTGCCTGTTCCGTAGCTGCCTCTCTTTCCACAATAGACTCACGGTCTATCACGCGCACAGTGGTTGAGCTTCCTTTGTACACGGGTAACGCTCTTTCCTTAACACCATCGGTCACGTGCATAAATGGCATGTCGGAAAACGGTGTATGTGCTACCTTTCTGGATGTCACATTCGGGACTGAGGGATAAAAACTGGTTTCATAGCATTGCACGGGTTAGTATAGGTCAACCACACGAGACTGCAGGTTCAAATTTGCCTATACCTTTTAAACAAGCGAACGTGGTCTTGGCAGGAAACCATATTCGGTGAGGTCATTACCGAGCGCAAAGCTTCTGACATTGAAAGCTGGCCAGGAAAAAGGTGGTCCGACACAACAGCTCGATAAATGGACACCTCCATAAAAATGCTGTCGCGTTTTGCAACGGATGCCGCCTCATGGATTGTGCTTGGCCTAGCAAAATAAGCGCGTTTCCACCAAGCACGTTGCACTCCTACATCGGCAACAGTTTGTCGGCTCAGCGGATCCGTTGCTCCTTCTTCGACTTGATCCATCAAAAATACGTCCTCATCCATCGCTGCAAGCAATTCTGCCAGATTCCTCCACAACATCAATGCAATGTCTGGGCTTTGCTCAACATACAAATCGCTCCCACAAGTATCAAGCGCTCCAACTAGGACTCTTGTCAGCGCAACGGACGGTACTGCACCAGCACTAGAGAATTCCAGCACCTTTTCCAGTGGGTAGCTACATGATGGGTCATTTTTCATCCACCTACGCCAAAGAACACTAGTTATAAGCATGGAAATGACATAGGTAGTTGCATCATACGGTACCTGGTGAACGCGGCAACTTGAGCATCTATCGAATCCGGATAATAGCACTCCAAAAACTGTGCAAGCTGACGATAAGAATTGTACAATAAGTCATCAAATAGCATCTTATGATAGCTAGTTGATAATCGTACCATCCTGGGTCCGTGAGGATCATCTGGGTTCATGTGAAAGAAAGCCTCAAGATAGTCGCACGCTGGCTGAATATCGCCTACCAGCACAAGAAGCTGCACATAATATTCGACAAACATTGCCGATTTTGGGCTCAGCGCCATTGCACGCCTCAGTGCATTGCAGGCGTGCTGGTATAAGACGTGAACCCCAATAGGTGTTTTGAAGCAGTAGTTGGACTCGATAACGGATTCAACGCTCTCGCTAGCACCACAATCCATATCATCCTCGGCATCCAAATGATCGTCATCTTCTTCGTCGCAGTCCGTGCGTTCCCGTACAAACCGTTCACGCAGTTGCTCTGACTCAATAAAGATGAGCCAATAGCATAAGATTCCAAAATTGGCTAGTAACCTTGCGTCTTCTGTAGATTCCTCAATCTAGGAGTATCAGAACAAATGACCAACACGCAAATGTGAGGCTACTACTACAGCTGCAGCAGGTTTAACGCATACTAGCTGAACATTTACCGGCTCTATGTTGTCTCGGTACATATGGTAGGCCTCATAAAACTCCCCGTGAACGACGTGAAAAAGCCACTTTTCTTTCAAAATTGACATTTTCTACGAAGCACAGCAGGCATAACTGAGCAAAAAGTATATCTCGACATACATCATTGGAGCACAAGCAAACACGAACGTCAACATGCTGGACTTCTGCTGCTGCCTCGTAGAAACTCAACAGATCACTACGGTAGTCCGGCCGCCGACGTAAGATCTCAAGGCTCGCCTATTGACATGATTGCATGGACATCGCAAAGCAACATCGTTTTCTTTTGTTAAAAAGGTATGCATAGGATACCTGTTCGGGAGCCCAGCACGCACCTCAATGCATAAGCTCGGAGTCACCACGAACCTGTGATAAATTACGCCAAGCACCTTTGCGGCACCTGCGTAGTCTCTAGCTCCCAAAAGCTGCAGCAGTGACATCGACATTAGTCGTTAACCTACGTCCAGCAACATCGCCACTTACTCTTGGTAGAAGTTGCTCGAACGCTAACCGTAGGCGCGTAACTGTGCTCCTGTCATTAAGTTTGTACTTCCACTGATTGAAGTAGATGTACGATTCCGAGCTTGTTATCAATGCCTTCACTTGACGGTCGAACGACTTATTGGAGGGCAAGGTGCTCCTGACAAGTAAGTGTGTCGTGTCCACATTCTGTTCCACTGTATTGTGCGTATTCTTATCGATTGACGATGCACATTCAGTACAGCCGTTAAAAAAACCACTACCAGCTTCTCCATCCACTCTTTTCGTGCGAAGACCCACCTCGGTAGCCACAATCTCCTTGTCGTCCTCTTCACTTCCTTCATCAAATTCCGATAAAGCCTCCCTCTCACCTCCGTCCGACACATCACTATCTTCGTTCGCGTTCGTATATCGATCCGTTCTCTTCACATGTGCAATCACGTCAATGTCCGATGTAGTTGCCTCCATTTGCTCGTTTGCAGCTTTTCCAACACAATATTTCGAATAGAAATGTAGCCATCTAGAAAATGAAACGAATATCTGACGTCATATTCAAAACTTGACGTTTCCCTACTCCTCGGCGTCCTCGCGCAGCAGAATCGACGCAATCAACTTGAGCTTCTTCTCCGTCTGCATGTGAAAACACTCTTTCTCTCAGCCCATGAACATTCTTCCTTCCACTCACAGTAAACGGTGTTATAGAAAGAGCTACAGCACACACCCGATTATGCTCCCGCAAGCTGCGTGAGAGTTTGCTCTCCGTTGCTTCAAACTGTGCGTGGGAGACGGCATGGCGTTCCTGGAGGCCGCGCATAATCTCTTGCATAATGGTCTCAATCTGTCCAAAGGTCTCTGTCCACCAAAACAACAGCAACACAAGATGTCCACCACCACCACCATCATCATCAGCTTCAACCTCAGCTCAGCTCCTCTCTACTCGATCCATCATTAGTTGCTCGCTCGACGGCACTTCATCACCTTCCACGAGCGTCTCCACTTGCTCTTCCTGCTCGCGTTTCCGCTTCTGCAGCGTCTCCAAGTGGCCGTAACACTTGGCCACGTACGGCGTCAGCTCTTCGCTCCCTTCAGCGACGTCCCCTTCTTTGCTCGAAGGAGGTGCAACGTCCTCCTCTCCGTACGGGTTCCGTCTGTTGTGGAGCAGGTTGAGACGCTGCTGCTCCTCCTCGTCTTCCTCCTCCTCTTCGCCTTCTGTTGCGACGTTCTCGCCACTTGACGACATGCCGTCCTCGCTCTCCTGCGCAGCACAGACACGGTTCGTGTGTGTGTAAACGGGAGTGTTATCAGACAGCGACAAGGGGACGTCGCACTTACGCGGATCGGCGTCATCTCGTGCTGCTTTCCCTTGGCCATCGTTTGGATCTTTTTGTCCGCGCGGGTTGCCTTTGCGATGGGAGGCAAAAGGAAAAGTGGCGGCGGAAGGCTCGAAAAGGAAACCAAGTGACCATCACTCTTGCTGACTTCAACTTGATGATCCTGTTATTGAAAAGCATTCTGTACAAAGTACTAGATAAGATTTGTACTCACTAAATGCTGCTGCTAAAAACTCTCGTGATGCGTATGTCGTGGTCCGACTATTTGCCTTATTTCTGCTGCATGCACAAAAGTAGCCATCTTGTTGTCATTCATGTAACGATTGCGATCGTCCGCGTTTCCACCGTCCACATTGACCTTCTACTAAGATGGTAGACCATTTCGGGTATCGCTAGAGATTCTACACACTGGTCAGTGCTGGTACTTGTCCGCTCCTATTTCATATTCTAGACCATTTGAATCTCTGCATGACGTAACTTTCAACAAAGCCCAACAACGGTGACGAGCTAGTATACGGCTCGTGTGGAATTGCTCTATTTTTAGCACATTCCGGACGCATGAAGTGTTGAAGTGGTGTCGTGCAATGAAAACTGAAATCTAAAGCATTGAGATTATTAACGTAAAGTTAACGGCAAAGTCGAAAAAGCTTTGGCACTTCGAGATCATAAATCTGTTGTCGAAGGTGAGATACACTGAGGAACGTTATTGACCAGCAACCCCCGAATCGAGATCACGGATCATTTTCAGGGCACGGACAGCTTCGTCCTGACATGTGGGCAGAGGGGGTGTACAATTGATCATGCAGACGTCTAATCTTCTCCATCTACGACCAATGTCTCGTTGCACGTCACTTGTTCAGCTGGACCCACAAGCCAGATCAAAACTTAGTAGCTGCAAGTGTCGCATCAGTAGCAAGTGTCCGGATGTGTCCACATGTCGTGATCAGCCCTGAAAAAAGCAGTAATATCACCCACCCAGCCAACATAAAAAGCACCAGAAAAGCGTCACAAAGAAACATTCCTTCACATTTTTCTCATTCTTTTTACTTCCACTGACGCTCGCTGCTTCCGCACGCAACGACCGACCGACCGACCAGAGCTTTCCTTCAGTTGCAAACGCATCAAAGTGATCAATCTACTGCTCGTTCTTTGCCTGCTATTCTGCGTCAAGGATGCATTACGCCTCCTTGTTGACCTCCGAGCGACGCTCCAAGTACTGCCGCAGCTCCTCCACCTCCTCCAGGTCCCGATGGTATTTGCTCTGCAGATAACTGCCAAGTCCAGCACCAACGCCCATCAACAGCACGTGCTCCCACGGGTCTGCAAGCAAAAGGAACAAAATCGCGTTAACCTCCTCACCATCACTACAATAGCTTTATATATAAAGCAAAAATGGACAATCAAGTAAAATCCTTTAAAAGGGCTGCACACGAGTAACTAGCAATACAAACGACGACGACTATACACGTACGACGCATGTACGGGACCTTCTGCAAGACGTTGCTGCCGATTTTCGTGGAGAGGCCCATGACCGTGCCAACAGCGAAGCCCGTGAAGCCCATTCCTGCTCTCTCTCTCTTTTTGTATCAGTCTTTCGTCGACTAATAACCCGTTCCATTTTGTTCATGCCCCGTTCGTTATGATTGGTCAATATTACAATTCCGATCCTACCCCTCTAAGCTTTCGTGGACAAATTACCCGTTCCCTTTTGTTCAAGCCCCGTTCAATATGATTGGTCAATATCACAATTTCGATCTTACCCCTAATCGCAAGTCGACGGTTGGCTCAGACGAAAAGCCTCGACCAGCCAGCAATTGGAGCTCTTCAAACCGACCCTGATCCCCATCTTACTGACGTGACGCCAACAATGAGCGACGCTGAAGGCAGCAGCAAGAAGCAGAAGGCGTGCACCTATGAAGAGCGTGTGAAGCACGTGTCGGTGATTTCCAAGCCGCTGGCGTCCAAGAAGCAGACGAAACGGACTTACAAAGTGTTGAAGAAAGCCACGAAGGTCAAAGGCATTCGACGCGGCGTCAAGGAGGTGGTCAAGAGCATTCGGAAGGGAGAGAAGGGTGTGTGTGTGATTGCGGGTGACATCTCGCCGGTTGACGTGATCTCCCACATCCCGACGCTGTGCGAGGAGAACGACATTCCCTACATCTTCACGCCCTCCAGGGTACCTAGAAGTGCTTGTTCGTGGGGCTGCCATTGCGATGTACATGGTGCTGACGGTTTTGTGTTGATCTTACTCTTGTGCTGCGTAGGTGGATCTAGGCGCGTCGGTGTTGTCGAAGCGACCTACAAGCTGCATACTGATCACACCCAACAAGGCGGGCTTTAGTGTGCTGGAAGCTTACAATGAGCTGCTAGAAGACGTCCAGCAGGTGCAGCCGACGTATTAACGTGAGAGGCAGATGCTTGCTAGCTACTCGTTTATTGACCAGTTGGCTGGCATGGACATATATACATATAGTTGTCAAACATTGACGTGAGTCTAGTGTTGTCGGTGGTGCTTGTGCATGACAGTGTCGAGCACGGGAGAAGTCCGTTTATGTGTAGCGAACTGGATGCGAGGACATCTCATGCGTCTCGATTTGATATGATGCGATCAGGAGAGACACGACTTGAACTAAATCATTGTTTACAACTGTACGATCTAAGCAACAAACATGAGGTAACAGATGTCCGCATTTAGAGGTCAGCTCATGCACGTGAATAGCAAAGAAGGGACTTTGCCGTACCCGAATGTTACCTCCGTGATGGCCTTCTATTCGCCTCAGAACAAGTCGTCGAAGATTGCATGTGCAAGGCCCTCCCAGGTCGCACATTGTGCTGCTCGCGGGAAGTAGTGAAACAGACCCTTGGCTGAGTGACTCGGGTGCAATAGAACTAGCTGCAGAAAGCGCTCCCGAAGACACCGTCGTTGCAATATGCTGCTCTGCTTTTCTCGGTGAATGTACTCTTGCCAGTATTCCGATGCGAGCGTCACCTTCCACAGCTCGCGGTCACAATGCTGATGAAAAATGTGCATACAGTGTCTCGTCAGTCGGCAAAGCGCACGAGTTTACAGCAGTCGATGCCACTTACCAAAGCAGCAAAGAAGACGGCGACGAGGTCATACAGTGGATCGCCCGTTTTGGCGTCTGCAAAGTCGATCACGGACGTTGGGATCCACTCATGTGGCCCAACAAATTTCTCCTTGCGCTTCGCTTCGATGGCTGCCTGCCCGACGGGGGTCGTACCATCGATTTCGCTCCCTTCTTCGCCGCTGCTGTTACTACTCCCACTACTAGTCTCCCATTCCTCCTCGGTACTATAGCCACGATTGCTCGTATCAATTTCGTCATCGATCACACGAGCATGACTAGCACTTTGCTGCCTGCTCTTCAGAATTGCAACACGAGGTCCCAGAGGAATACCCAGTTCCTTCAGATGGGCTTCATCGAGTCGACTCAGCGACTCCAGTGTCACTTTCTCTTGCTCCACAAGAAGTGAAATGTACTCCTCGCACCCGATAGACTTCAAAAACGACGATAGGTTGCAGGTCTGCTGTGCATTCGCCGAGCTCGAGGCAACCTTATTCCTCGGACGACCATCAACTTCGGATCCAAGAATGTTTTCGTCCGTCAAGTCACCGTGCAACAGCACGGGCTTGACCTCGAACAAGTGTACTGGAAGTAGCTGCGAGACCACTGCATCGTTGCTTGCTGCAGGGAGAAAATCTTCAAGCAGCTTTTGTAAGTGTGGAGGAAGACTGCTTTCGATCAGGTGGACTACAAACCAACAACATCAAATTAATAACCACATGTCGTCTCATACGCAGACAGTTTGCTTGACGATACACATCACTTACATGACACAGCACGCTTTCTTCGATGAAGCATGTAGTGTATGTACCAGTCCCATTCAAACTTGCTGTGACCGTAAATGCCTCGAAGTTCTGGGTCGATGGGAACTAAGTGCAGCTTCGGCAAGAACTCCTGACTGATCCAAGCTGCCACTTTGTTCCAGCTATCACGGGTAACACCGCCCTTTTTCGTAATCACGTCAAGGCCCACGCCACTACACTTGTATTCAATGATGAGATAAGGCCACCGCCACATCAATCCTTCACCTACGTTATCGTCGACCTCGTCTGGATAAAGAAGGTGACCTGAGTAATGCAAGCGAGGAGTCATTGCTTGGAGCGACTGGCGCAAAGGGTCTACGCGCACTCCTTTGTCAAGCATTTGATACACAGCCCTCTCAACGCGAAAACATTCCTCCATTGCGCATCGTAAAGTCATCGCGTTCTTCAACTCGTGCGGCTGCAAGACGCTCTGCTTATGACGCTTTGATGGATGCACACATTCGTCACGAGTCGAGTCGAAGTTTGGGGTCATGTACGTCTCAAAATCGAACTCGCCCCAGTTTTCGTTGTATTGGCTAAAGAACTTCACCAGCAGACGCTTTCCAACCGCAAATGTCGGATTCACGCGTGAGGTGAGACTTTTCATTCTCGGGTACTTGACTTTTCCAATGACATGCTGAGTGGTATCCGGCACAACTAGCACCTTGTGACGCTTGAGAATTCTCTTTACTTGAGGCTTCCAATGTTCCAAGATACAGAACGACTGCTGAAACGCTTCTTCGCTCAAGAACCCGCTCATTCGAGGGATCTGAACAAGGCGAAACATGTCAAATGTCTCCGGCCGCGTTTTCTTGAGTTCGTGCTGCAATATCTCCAGCGCTTCGTCTTGACCATCGTTGACCATATCCTTCATAAACATAAGCACGTTGTGCGAATCGACCATATTCTGGGTGACTGCGATCGTCATGTCCAAGTTGAGAACAAGGTGCCACCAGCCATTGGGTACGTAAATTGTCTCACCCTCTTCTTGAATGATTTCAAGCGGCTTTTGATCAGGCGCGAGAGTGGGGTATACGTGCAAATACCACATAAGGGACGGCATGCCAACGCCGCTGTCGCGGTACTCGCCATTCTTGCCAACATTCACACCCGGTGGTAGTGTATCAGGAGGATAGACCGCCCATCGCTTTCTCCCCTTGACAAGCGCATTCCAGGCAGACGTTCTTGCAGGATCTTGGTGCCATGGAGCACCGGTGCGCTGTGGTCCGATGACAATCCAGCGGAATTCGGGTCTTACTGAACCAGCGGCACGCTTTTTCTTCTTCCCCGTTCGCATCTTTTTGCCTCCAGCTTCTAGCTTTACGCCCTTCTTAAGCACCGCCTTCCCATCCAGCTTCTCTGGACTGGCACTGACGCTCAAGAAGTCTTCCTTAAAGACCTTCAAGTCTTCAATTCTATAGTCCGCAAGCAGCGAGGGCATCTTTTCTCCAAATTTGGCGTCAAAAATATACAACGGCGTTTCGTCATGCTGGCTACGAGCGTACTGGAAGTAGTCGGCAAAACCCATTTCCATCGTAGAACTGCTCGAGACAATATCCAGATTGTGCGTAACACGATGCTTCACGTCGCTCGGGAACCGTTCGATCAGCTTCTGCATTGTCCACTACAATACAAAAAAGAAAGAGGAAAATCTATCAGCCACATACAACCCGATCGACCAATGACAACCTATCTTCTCATCTCTCTCCTACCTCCTTCGACGCCTTCCACTCGCCCATTGCATTGCAAATGACAAACGGCACTCTCGAATGTTGTCTACCAACAATCCAAAAACCAGAAACAAACGCCAGATACAATGTCATTGTCCAGCCGTTTTGATACAAAAGGCACTGCAACGTCGACACACACTCGTAAAAGTCCTGGAAAGTCAAGTCTTGAGCGTCAATCTTCTGCAGACGACGGATTGCCGGGTCCTGTTCCTCACTTGGCAGCAGAAAAGCGTCTCCAAGGTCCATGTGACAGCGACACCAGCGCCGGTACAAAAAGTCCGAGCTAAAACCTCTCACAATGACTGGACGAAAAGCTCGGTCCAGCTCTGCCTGTGGCCGTGGGTCTCTCGGGTAGAAACTCGTGAGTTTCCAATTGTGATGATATGAAAAGTTCCCATTATGAAGACGCAAACACTGCGTCATCCAGAGCGGATCTTCCTGACAAAACACATAGAAAACTGCCGTACAAAAGACAAATTAGATAAAAGATGGATTAAATCCAAGATGGAGTGGATAAAATGTGAATCCGATAAACGACGAAATAGATAAACGACGAAATACAGATAAAAAACGACGTTGAGATGGATTAAAGTGCACAACTGAGCACCGGAATTGACTTCTGACAGCTGGAGCAGATCCAGCGGTTCAAAGAACAGCGTGAAGTACGCGAGTAACTCGTCGGAGAAGCCGGTGAAGGCGCTGCTTGCAAGCGCCGGGTGCGACGACATGGGTCCAAAGTGGACTGAAGTGGCTACACGAAGATGGTCGATCACTTCCACCAATCAGAGACACGCATTAAGTTGGACAACAATTAATGGTCTGAATGTATTGAACAGAAAATGACGTTCATTGCACAGCTGCTGTGCGGTAATCCACATTATTTTGTACGATCGATGCCCATCACTCCGCCGTGATCCTATCCAAGAAGTGGATAAAAACATGTAATATCTGGATACTGCTACAAATTTAACGTCCAACCTCCATTGTTGTCCTGGTAGTCATTCTTGGCTCGAGTTATGTTTATCGTGGGGAAGTACACGTAACCCTTGTCCCTCCGCGCTATAATTAGCGATCGTACCGCACTTTATCACGTCTAATGCGTTGATTGCAAAGCGGTGCAGTTACGTACCAAAGTGTTACTTCAGAGATGCGGTTCAGCCCGGCTCAGCACCGCCTGTGGACATAACGCAGCCGTTTTACATTGTTGAACTTGGCGCAGGATCGTTTATATCCAGCTTTTATTTTATAAAAAAGCGTTTATTTGAGCAAATGTACGGTATCGTTAATTCAGTACGCTTTTATCATTTCTTGGAATAAAAATAACGTGAGGCGTCATTCATAACAAAGATGTCGAGTGCAGCCACTACTAACCTTTTGCTAATCTGTAATTTCTTTCTAATGCAACAGAATGTGCTGGACATGCCATTAAGCAACATCCGCTACGTCATGACGGATTTTACCAAGCAGAACCTGAAGTTCTGGAAGACGCATCCCGCTTTCGTGCCGTTCGTCAAAAGTGGCATCCTGAAGTTCGCCATTTTGACGCGACCTCCAACTCGGAGCTGCGTCTACTTTTGTCTGGGACTGTCATTCGTCCTGGCGAGCTACACCATCCAATCTGTTTGATTGCAAACTATTGATTCTACACGCTTTTGTTGCGACCTTTTCCAAGTGGGTCGAGATGTACTCAAAGAAGGTCTGTCTGGTAAGTGTCGGCTCCAGACGCACTGAAGAGCCGGACCCGCTAGACCCGGGGAACACCCAGCGCATGCACAATATGTTCAAGTACAATCAGATCGACGAAACATTCTACGGAGAGACGAAGTTCCATCCCAACAATAGTCTGAAGTGGTGCTACGAATACTTTGACATCTGCATTGTCGGGTGCTACTATTTTTGGTGCCTATTGGAGCTCCTTCAGCCGTTGAGCGCCTTGCAGCACTGTCAATGAATGGACTTGTACTTCTTCCAGGTGATAAGGGGCTTAGCAACCCGGACCGCTTTCGAGGGATCGGTGATCTCGATCGCAGTCCATGGCAGTTTTTCTATCATGGTAAACTAGCATGCGCTTGGTGCGTACTTCGCAAGTCGTGGCGAATTTGCATTGCACAGCTCACAGGAAGAAGTTAGCCTCAAGGTGTCTGCATTAGTGCTTCCAGCAAATGCTGCTGGCAAAGATGAAGCTGGCAGCTTGGCAATGATGGACTTGTACGACAGCGAACTGCACAAAATTTGCGAGAAACGGAGTCTTCAGTTTCCACATCTGTCGACAGCATCTGAAGAAGTTGTGTCGGTTGGATCGAATGACTTCTTTGTGATGCAGAAAGCTGCTAGTGAAGCCGCCAACACTCCACCGCTCAAGTCCGTATTGTCGTTGATGAAACTGAGTGGATGGGACCCGGACGTGTTCTACAAGTTTCGCAATGTATAGTTGAATCAACCACCAACCGCCAGTGTCGAACTGAAGCAAGACGTGATGCGTGGCATTTCGCTGACTAAAGTAGCTCTATGCATTGGACAAAGAGAAGGACATCGCGTTCGAGATCGGCCGCCTCTGCTATAATTTGCACGAGTACGACAGCGCTATAGCTTACCATGCTCTCTCTGTGTGGGGTGCGGGCAAGCTCTTCATCACAAGCCACAACATGGGGTTGTGTCATTACAGTTAGAAGCAACTGGTGTTGGCTGTAACATGCTTTGAGAAGTGTTTGCGCTCAACAATTCGTACCAAAAGGCACCGATTTGGCTCCAGCGCGTGCACCAAGAGACAGGTGCTGTACTAGTTGGTGGCGTTTGCACAGTGCCCACACAGCCTGCAATGCAGCATCTCACGGATATCGTTGTCCATGAACAGGCACTTCAACCACCTGGAAGCATGCTGGCATAGTTGATAATGGTATCGACGATGATCGACCTCTAATGGAAGATCAGAGACGCTCGAGCTAGCACCTTGAGTATTGCTGCAAACCAAACATGAGTGGCGAAGCAGAACTCGACTCGTCTGTAGAGGAATCAATCGTCGCAGTTGCTAGTTGACATGCGCAGCTCACTGAACCTGGAGACAGTAACTTGGACACATCATTCATAGTACAAGACACGCTGTGGCAGCGATGCAATATTCTGCCACCTCACTGAAACCATACCGTATTTCTGAAAACAACCATCTCGCAGAGCGCGTTTATTCACGCCATTATCGCGAAATCTTCGCCGTGTGTTGCGCTGCTACTGCCACTACTGCATACAGGTGGAAACGTGTCACGATCACCACCAAACCGTCGATCGACACGACCACAGACCAACGTTTGATGCTCCTGCGGTAAAGTCTGACTCGGCGCTGCTGCTATTTACTTGCTGCACATTGAGCGGTACAACAGCAGCGCTGGCACCCTAAGATGAAAGCTGACGACTCACTTGGACTGAATGGAATTGACATCGCCCGTGATCTGCCAAGCAATCATCTTGCGGTCGTTGCCAGTGGAGAAGAACGTATTGCTCGGACCAGTCGTGATGCGCCGCACCGCATCGTGGTGGCCTTGATTGAGATCGGCACCCAATGTCGTCTTGTACGCAAACGACGGCAGCTCTTTCACTGAGATCGTGCCGTCCTGCAAAAACCAGCAGCAAAAAGAACAGCAGCACAACGTCAGACATTTGACACGAGATCAGTGAGTGGTGTCGAGACAGCAGCCACTTACCGCCATGCCAATAAGAAGAATCGGAGCTTGTGCTGCGTCCTGCATTCCGCACAAAGCCGTCACCTGCGAGTCCTGTGTCTCTTTAAACAGTTGCTGGAACGGCGGCGTGAGGCCCCAGACAATAATCTCCGCGTCCAAGCCGCCACTAATGAGGAACGTCTCGTTCTTGTTCACCCAAAACTCGAGGTCCATGACCGCATCCAAGTGGCCATTTTCTTCTGCCGAGAGCACCTTCACACACTGATACGTGGCCAAGTCCCAGAGCCGAATCGTCGAGTCAACGCTCGCTGACGCCAAGATCGGGACGCCGCCCACGGCAAATGTCTTGAGTCGGGTCACGCCACGGACATGGCCGTCCAGGACGCCGCGACACTTGAACTGGTTACTGGATGTCTCCATCTGCCAGTACCGAATGCAGCCATCTGCACTCCCGCTAAACAGCGTCGCATTACCGGTTCTGTCAGTGGCTACAGCCAGGGCTTGGACGCTCATCGCATGAGCAAATGGTAGACTCTCGGATGTTATAAACTCGAACGGAGGCACTTGAGGGGTCTCGAGATTCCAACCTCGAACTTTTCCAATCGAGACCTTCGGATTCGGTCGGAAACACCCTGCAAAGCCTGCGAAGAGAAACGGGCCACAGAGCACGAGCGCCATGACGCCGTCGGAATGGGGCGTCTGTCCCGCATCCCGTGACGAGGACGGAGTAGTAGTAGTAGTATTACTACTGCGAGGAGCTCCTCCCGTTGGGTTATAACTGTGACTCGTAGTAGGAATACCGCCACCACTACCGGTACTATTACTCGACGGAGGGAGCGCGTCCTGCACACTGATCGTCGTAACCTCCTGCCACGTTGCGCAGTCCCAGAGCTTGATACTCGCGTCGGCCGAGCACGTAAACAGCTGCTGCCGCTCGGACCACATGACCACGTCTTTGATCGCGCCACTGTGGCCGCGGGTGACGCCAATTGTCCGGACAAAGTGCGGATACCGACACGGTCGGCCGCCGGACGTTTGCTCGAAGTCGCACTTGCCGCTGTCCATATACCGACGGCAGACCTCGTTACCGACGGACGACGCGTTCGAGTAGCCGCTCCCTCGCCCGCCAGTGTAGCTGCTGCGGTTGCCGCCGCGGTTCCCGCCGCGGCCGCGACTGCGTCCACCGAAACCTCCTCGTCGATTGTAGCTCATGACGACGGACGGGGAGACGTCGGTATTGACCGAAGAGTGGGTGGTGGGAATACCGGTATCTTTCGGAAACCGGTGGGTTTCGTTTGATGTCGTGTGAACGGCGCAGGAGGAGAAAAAAAAGGGCTCGAGTTGCGATGGTTAATGGAGTTGGAGCTAGAGGGTAGAAATTACAATTGTGGACGATTGTGATGGGAATTGCGGTAGACTTTGTTGCGTTTTTATTCAGGTTTAATCGATGGCGATGGGATACTCAGGATAGAAATGTGGATGTGTTGGATGACTTGCGACTTTTGTTTGTTGAGATTGGCGAGGGCTGGACAAACGGACACGAGTCGTTCGTTTAGAGCATCGTGATGGACTCGATTCTAGCTAGTGCGAATGTGTTTTTAAAAGAGCAAATCTCATTATCAGGACCACAAATGTCCAAAAGTCCCAAAACCAGGACTATAGTTTAAACAAGTCTAAAATTGGTTGATACCTAATGTTGGCCACATTAAACTCAAACTGCAACATGGGATAAGAAACTGCCTGATCACTAATGAGTCTATCCATTTTTTAGACAACTGTCGCGAGTGTAAAAAAAAACGCTCTTTTTTACCAACGTTCGTTTACTTCTCAATTTGCGCCCACGAGCCGATGTGCCCATTTTGGTTTGGGCACATTGCGTGCGAGCCAGAGCCCGGTCGCATGCACCCGACGAGCTCGTGACCGGGTGACTCAGTAATTACACCTTGCACTGTCAATTTTGATTAAATCAGTAAATCTTTATGTACGCGGTTGCAGCAACGCCAGTTCGAAAGTTTTTTACAATTGGTCAGGTCAGTGGTGCCGTGATTGTGTTAGTTTCGATTGATGCAGTCACTCGGGACATCTCAAAGACTTCTTTCAGTCCACTTCTTGCGCTTACGCTTAAACGCTCAAACTAACCATTCAAAATAAACAGTATGAGGTAATGAACATTTTTTTTAAATGATTATTGCTATTAAGACCAGTACTAATTTTTAAATATATATAGAACGCATGAATTACACTTGTCTTAAAATTACGCCTTAGTCGGTCAAACGAACTCCTGGCACTGCAACATATCCACACGGACATATCACACAATCGTTAGCAGGACACTCGACATTACTTGAAACCACTCGACGCCGCTCTATATCACCGGACGCCACTTTACATCACTGGACATTACTCGACATCACTTGATATCACACGACCTCACTTAAAACGCACTGCAACACATACAGACAGACAAAGCATACGATCGTTAGACAGCACAGTCGACATCTACAGCATAACTACCTGCTACCGCTGCTCATGAGAGTTAATACAATAACGGAGTTTATCCGTCACGAGCTCGTCGGGCGCGTGCGACCGGGCCCTGGCTCGCACGCAATGTGCCCAAACCAAAATGGGCATATCGGCTCGTGGACGCAAATTGAGAAGTAAACGAACGTTGGTAAAAAAGAGCGTTTTTTTTTTACACTCGCGACAGTTGTCTAAAAAATGGATAGACTCATTAGTGATCAGGCAGTTTCTTATCCCTTGTTGCAGTTGAGTGTAATGTGGCTAACACTATGCTAGTTTGCATACTCAACCCAAGTATAAAATAGATAAATTTTAAACTTGAATAAACTATAGTCCTGGTTTTGGGACTTTTGAACATTTGTGGTCCTGATATTGAGATTTGCTCTTTTTAAAATTGTGTTACCGTTGCTGTGTACTTCGTAACGAGGGGTTTGATTCTAGGCTAGTATGCAAAGCTAGGATTGTGTGGTGGTCGATACGAGCAATCGCTGCGTCTTTACGTGCGTGTAGTAGACATTGCAATAGGAGAAGCAAATTAATGGATGGTTCATCCGGACAATCGCGTCGTGCTGGAAGCTCCGCCTTCTCGCAGTCCGTCAACTGACTGTTAGTAAGAAAGTGAGGTCTGTTTAGGTTTGCGAGCGACCCATAATATCCTGAGTCAATAACTGACTGGTAGGCGTTAAGACCTGAACGTATCTCATAAATGTCCTTCTTCTCCACAAATAAAAAGGGTGACCAGCTGTCCGGTTCCTCCATATTTATAGATATTGCCCACTTCTGGACGGACACGATGCGTACGTGGTACGTCGTATTTAATCTGCCATAGTCGATCTTCCATTCCGATTTAGTTCTGGCATGCGATTTGAATCATTCTTATTCAGGACAAAATCACAAAGCCGCAATTGGGTTTCCGTACGACTAAAATACTCCAAAATTGTTCGTTGCGGTCGTGCATTTGATAATTCATCGACAATCACACTCACCATCTAAAACATCTACTACACATGGATATTATCCAACTAACATCCTCCGATACAGCCTTAGCACGATAACCTCACGGCCATCACACGCAACATCCATCACCACGGTCGACTCCTCAAGTCCTCTATAGTAATATAACCCAACATCCCCAGTGACCCTCAAATCTGCTAGAAACAAGTGTATACACGCATATAAAACTCACCGCCACCTTCTCACCTCATACCAATCAACTTGCTCACCACCCACCCGACAGCTCGAAGTGTTAATAATAATGATAATTATAAAAAATAATACCTACATCCAACCTCCGCTCGACATGGGCCAACGCATTTTATTTTTATTGTTCACAAGCACGTACGTCGTGTCCTTCCTTCCTCGCATCAGTCTCAACACCTACCTACCATCTCTGCCTTCAAGCTACAGCGCCGTTTGATTGTAGTACACCACGTCTTGGAACTCGGCCTCGCAGTACGGGAACAGCGCTTCCGAGTCCGAAGGCGAGAATAAATTCTTGCCCGCAGTGTACGTCGAGTAGCAGCCGAGAATCGTGCAGACGACGATAATCACCCCAGCGCCAAACTTTTCATAGAGCGGGACGTGTTCCCACGTCTTCATGAGGTAGAAAACCGTGGGTAGCACGATACAATTGGCCGTGATCGCCGACGCCCCAACGAAGTCGACAAAGTCCGAGAAATGATCCGCAAAAACGATCGAAAGGATCACGAGCACGACGATGATCACGAGTCGTAGTAGAATGTACTTGATCGCATTCGCCCCTCGGTACTCGGCCGCTTCGAGTTCATGGTCATTCTTGAACTCGCCTGTAAGAGGGAAGACGGACGTCCGCATTCGACGACTGGACGTCACACTTACCGCCGACACTTCGCTGGTTTTCGGCACGGGGGTCCCGGATTCCTGAAACGCCAATCCGGTTTCCATCTCCACCGGTTTCTTCTCGTGCATCCCGAGGACCAGTCGCTCCGCAATGTAGAAAGCCGGGTTAATCAGCACGGAGAAAGCTATCGTGACGTGCATTTGCATGGCAATGTAGGCGAGCACGACAGTGCCCCACTTTGGAGCAAAGCCTAGTACCGTCAACCCCGTGGTTGCATCGGGGTAGATCATGTACAGCAAGTTGCCCGAGATCTGACAGCCGACAGAGAAGTACGGGACGAAGCCCAAGACCAGCAGGATGATCATGACAAAGATCATGGTTGCAACGACGACCCGGGGGACGCGACTTGGGTCACTGTGTTGCCGCTGGACATCGGACAAGACAATGCCAGCTCCAAAGCCCATGGCGAGACTCCCAAAGGCACCCGCAACTTGCGGTAAACTCAATTCCGGCGACGGCACGGACGGGTGGTCACCCTGCATTCCGTGTGCGACAATAGCGATCCCCAGGCCATCGGCAATGAGGGTGCCCATACAACCAGCAAAAGCAGCTCCAGCTCCTTCTTTCAGGGTAGGGACTAGCGCAAGGGGGAGCACGGTGATGGTCATTAAGATGATCCAGACTGTGGTGCTCCAGGCATCCGGGAAGAGCCGATCGAGCAGACCCCCACCCAGCACAAGGAAGACACAGGGCATGAGAAGGCAGGACCCCATTTGAGAGACGACGCTGAGCCAGCGGCCCGTGCGTCCTAAACACCACTCCCCGAGGTCACTGAAGGTATTGACCGAGCTCGGAGCTAGGAGAAGGACCTTGGACATGGCCACTGACGCGTAGATGTTGGCGAGAGCCATGAAGACCGTTGCGAGGGACCCGAGGAACGGACCTGCTCGAGCAAAGTTGGCGGGCATACTGAGCGTCCCGACGCCGCACATGCAGCAAAAGAGGCTGAAGGAGATCTTGGCATCTTCTAACGTGAAGAAGGGCCGCTTGACCATTAGAACTTGTGGTGGGGTGGGTGCACGAGGGTGATGAGAGTGGTTTTGAGGTTGGGGATGGTGTTCAGGATGGAGGACGCTGGGTTGGGAGCAGCGAGCTAATCGCAAAGTGGAAACAGGTTGAACCATGGCACGGCTTTCGAGAGAGCGAGTCGGGGTGCGCACAGCTCGGGTCGGTGTGGCTGCTCCCTTGTCCATGCTGCATGCCAGCATGGACGAGGAAATTTGGACCGAAGGGGCGGCCTGGTCTGGCTGGCTGTAGTCCAAATCGACGGAGAGGTGGAAAAAAGGAGACGTGCAGAGACGGCTTCGAAGAGAGATGGGCGCTGTCAAGGCTTGTGCAAGGCAGCCCTGGTCGCTCGACACGGACCCGGTACTGCAACTTGTAGGTGCTGTGTCGAGTCTTTCATTCGAAGGTGTGAATGCGGAGACTATCGGGAGTGCACTCGTAGTAGTAGCAGGTGATAGAAACTATGCAAAGCAGCCGCGATTGAAGCGGGTTCCTCCGTCTGCAGTAGCAACACGATGTTCAGGACTCAATTGCACACGTTTGTAACGGAGAGAGGACGCAAGGAGGATCCGATAGCGAGCGAGCAAGAGCGGAAGCAACTGCAGATCGACTGGTTTGGTCTGATACGAACATGGACAGCCGAAGCATCCGGGTGCAAAAGCGGCTTTCTTGAAGCAGATTTTGCTCGAAATCTCTGTGTGAATGCTGACCACGGCGTCAGTCTGAAGAGATGCCACATCGTCAGACGAGTTGAAGTGCTCGTCTAAACAACCGAGAGCCAGATGTGTCTGGACTGGCTTCAGCAAGCCAAGATGGTCTACCAACTGTCACAATACGATCAAGTCCTGCTTTCGTAATAATGAGTCGACGCTGCAGCCTTTAGAACGGAAGTGGAGTGGTGAAAGGCCGCTAAAGCAGCTCTTCTGAGCTGCCATGCACGATCTGTATCGGTTAGAGTCCAGGATTCTTGCCCTTTCGAACACACACGCCATTGATGTGTTTGGATCACTGGTCTTGATTACATTCCGCGTACTCGTCCATTTTGTTGGAAACAAGCTACTTCTTCTTCCATGTTTGGTGTAGCTAACATGTAGCTGTACTTGTTACACGTCCGGAGATCATTTTAAGTATCGTGCGCATGCAAGCAACCGCACACAGCTAGAGCTCTGCATGATGTGCGCTTCACATGTTAAGCACCATAGTCATTTACGTAGCGACATTGCTCTGCCGCATGTCAACGCTTATCCCCAGAATGCACAGTAATGTGTTGATGGTTCAGCGTGGACCGCTGTCGTTCACATGTACTGCTGCCATTCACATACATCTCAAGTCAGGATACCCATAGTCTCATTTCTACCAGCCTAGACTATGCACGACATTGTGTAAAGTCCCGTGGTAAGAAGCAAGCGTCGGTACCCTTGGATGCGTATCGTGGCTCCCCGTCGTATCAAGGGAATGCTAGCAAGCCAAGGCAGTTTTGCATACAAAATTACTAGGTTTGGTGCTCTGATACGGTCCTCTCGAGTCCATTTTCTGGTTGGACCTATCGGTCCAGTCGCCCGAGTCAAGGCTTTCTGTGCTCCATTACATGCAGGTATCGCAGTTCTCGCACGAGGAAGCTGTTGCAGTGACTCCAGCGTTGTTCAGTGAGGTCTGCAGACCAGGTGCAGAGGCTGGCGACGAGCAAATCAATTGCGACAAATGAGATTGGTAGAGCGTTTTTGATACTGAAGCTCAGCTTAGCTTGCACCTTCGTTGCGAGCTTACCCCTAGTGAAAGAACGTCTCATTGACAGCGTCCGTACAGTCTGTTCACATCTGATCCATCGAGTGACAACTGCGCGAAAAAGCGTGTCTGCTCTCTTTAGAGCCAAAGTGGACTACTTATCCCACCGAGCTTCCATCCCACGGGAGCCCCTAGAGAAGGTACGATACAATATCGTCAGCCAGGTCCCCGGCTCTTGCCATTACCCTGCACTCGCGCTACGACTCCGAAGATAAACAGCTAGTCTACCAGTGTCCTGAAGTCATGGCTCTACATCTGGCCTTGGCAGGTGTGTCTTGGCAATCGGGTGATCGATTTCGCCATTCGGATCAGTAGAGTCTGAACGACTACTATGTCTGCGTGGCAAGTAGTCTTAGGAAACGAGGCATGGGAAGGATGCGGAAAATAGTGTCGATTTACGCGTAGAATAAAAAAGTTGCAGAAACCGTGTCAACTAGCAGCTGGCAAGGCAAAGCTCCATAGCCGGCTACAGAGCCTGGAATGCTCGCGTAACTAGGGACATTCCCTGCACTATTCTCGTCAAATGCAACGCGTCTATTCCTCTCTCCCTCACACAAAAAGACTTGGACAGCTCTTACAGTTTCTGTCTAATTCCGTTCTGATGCCGAGAACACTTTGATGTACGATCGATCTCGCTCGTCGTCTGCTAAGCCTGCTTCTTCTTCTCGAAGACATAGCGCAACGAATCGAATCAGGAGGTTGTTGACTCATGACGCTCGTCCTTTCGTGCACTTGCACTGACTCCCGGGACGATGATGGCACGAGCAGGCTCGACAAAAAGGTTCGATAAAACTACAGCGCAAGCTGTCGAACGTCCTCTTCCATCCGTGCCTGTGCTACGACAGCAACTTCACCTTCATCGCCTTTCATCGTTAACTCGTTTTCAGTCGCCACTCACTTTCGATAGCTGTCAATCGCTTTGCTGATGACAAGATGGCAGTCTATCCGCTTCCAATGTGTATAATATGCTGATCCTATGTTTATAATCTTGTCGTACACATCGTCCGCCGCGAAAGCATGAACGACATTTCCATCAATAACAACGTACACAAGTTTGTGGTATGACTTATAAACCCCAGAGCTTTACCATAATCACAAAGTCAGCAACGCCCCCGTCCTTTACAGAATCACAAATACAGGACACAATCCCACTGACAATGGTCCCTCCTTGTCCAACTACTTGCGATTCGCCTCGCCGTCGAGCGCCTATTTGATCCAGCGATGGGATGCACGGAACATCGCAGCACCTTAATTTCTAAGATCATTTTTTGGGCCCGCTCTTCGAAACCTATTCAAAAAAAGAGCCTCGACGTCTGGCTCTATTTTTCAGCACGTAAGGAACGTCACTTCGAGCGTAATTGTCCCTCTTGACCAGCCTCGTGCACCCCAAATCGATGCAGGTGGCTATGCCGGAACCCGTAGGTCTGCACGTCTATAGCTCCTGGAACGCCGATGATCAGGCGTTACTGGATATTTTACTCCTGTCTGATCCAGTTGAGACGCCGCCGATGCAGGACGTGCACATGCAAGTGGCTTCGTCGTTGTCTGAAGTAACGGCAACGACTGCAAAAGCCTTGCCGGTCGGTAAAGACGAAGGACTTAAGAGCAAACTTTCGGCTGTTGAGCGGCGTGTGCGACACCGTGAGGTAGTTAAGCGAGCGTATCATCGTAATAAGGTGGGGAATCAAAGAGAATGTGACTCGAAATATTTGGGTTACTATTTGTTTCGAATTGGTCGTGAAGTAGCAGGATCTATTTTGTGTGCATGTTTTTATCTCTCTTTTGCTAACCTTTTGTATTTCTTGACTTCTTCTATTATTTTGTTTTATCTTTTTTTTTCAATTCGGGACGTGGAATTATATGTTGTTTCTGGATGGATGGATGGATGTACCCATGTAGGCTGTGCTCAAGAGTTTGCGCGACAAGGTCAAGGAGCTCGAGCGGCAGCTAGAAATGCTGTCGCTGTCCAAGCACAAGAAGGAACTTGTTGCTGTTGTGGCAATTGACCACCACCACCACCACCTTCAACGTCGACGACAATATGCCGAGCTATTGACGGAGCAGGAGGAGCTGATCAATGCAACTGCCAAGCTGCGGCTATTACTGAACCGCCGGCATCAATTTGCTGCGGATATCGTGGCTATAGCTCAACGAACTGCAGCGGTTTCGGGTAATGAGTCGGACGAGTCGGACGATGTGTCGGACTCCGACACGGCAACAACGGTATCGACCGACTCGATGGCTACACTTTCGCCGTCGTCGTCGCCTGTGCACAGTAGCACTGCGAGATCGCCATTAACGATGGCCTCTAGTGGCTGCGAGGTGTCCCCGCTAAGTGCAAAGCACAAGACCAAGCTGTTACTCTACGGTGAGCCACGTCCGACCTTAGCGGGCCCGACTGTTACAAGTAAGACGTCGCTGGCAGGGGCTCTATGGAAGCAGCTGGGGTACAAGCCACTGAGTTTTCAGGAGTCAACGGCTCTGGTGAATGAGATCTACCACTCGGTGCTGTCGTTCTCGTTGAGTGGAAAGGCCATTAGCACGGGCGTCAGTATCATGGGCTGGGCGGACAAACGTCTATTGGATGGAACGAGGCTCAAGTTTTCGCTGCGGAAACAGTTTGCTGGACTCAACGCGTTGCAATTGATGACCAGCACGTGGCAGTGCTTCTCGGATCCAGAGTGTATCGAAGCCAAGTTTCACGGCCTTATGACTCTGCGCATCCTGCAGCGTGTGGATGATGACACGATCGTGGCGTTACGTGAGAGTCAGAGCGAAGATGGCGAGAAGCTGTATCGGTGTGTGTATTTACTGTTCCGCGTACGCACTCGGAAGGGGTATCTCATTTGCGTGCAGTCGGTTGCACCCGAGCGTCTGACCGATCCCTCGCTGGCTCGTGTTAGCCGAGATGGCAAGCTCGTGCAGTGGATAGAGCTCTCAGGTTGGTTCATGTTTGAGCCTACAACCGAGTGTGGAGACAGTTGTGGCTTCTATCCCCAAGAAGGTGTGCGAGTCGAGTACGGGGGATGCATGGACAATGGTGACTACGAGTCAATCGCATTGCTCGCTATGAACACGCTGTCCATTGCGTTCAAGTGGGAGAGTATGATGATCGGCCCGATGTTTACCCTGCTACCGTCCTTTTCGTAACGAAAAGAACCGGTGAGAACAAAGTTGAGTCCCGACGAGCGTAGTGTCAGAATGAATGATGCAACGTAGAAGTATCAACTGGTTGACGTCCACGTGCTTGCAGCGGTGTGGCCGGCTCGAGGATGCGCGATTTGCTACGGTTCATGTGTGTGTGTGTGTATTGTGCTATATATCAATTGTCAGTTGTCTACCTGCTACTACGTAGGCGAGTATAAGAAGTAATCGATACGAAAGGATTGAGTTTCTTGGTTGTTTATTTTAGTGCTGAAACTTTGGACCTTTCGTGAGCTGCTAATTATGGTAATTGCCGTGTAATTGTGCTGATCGGTGAGTCAAGAAAGAGGTCGTGGGTACCGCAAAGTCAACCGGTCAGTACATCAGTATATATCTCTTCGTAGCGCACCATCTAACAGCCACGAGCAAATATGACTTCAAGTTAAAGTAGCAGCATGCACCTACAACGCGTTTTTTTGTTGCACTTGTATGTCAAGCACCAGCTGTCTATGTATTGCGTCAAAGGTCTAAACATCAGCATGAGCTCATTCACTGCTCTGACCATCATCAGGGTCAACCCGTCTCTAGATACATAAAAGGCATCAAGTCGCTGGTCTTATAAAGCCTGCCCTTGCTTCATCGTCGTTTCAGACACAATAGACTACCTAAGAAACAGTGACTGGTTCGGTGGGGACTTCGTCTCGTGAGTTGCCTATGTATAAGCTCGCGAGATCGTTCGTAAGCAGAAATGTGAGTAATCGACCAATGCCAGGTGACCAGGAAAAAAAACATCAATGACTCGGACATTTTTTTAAAGTGATCGAAAGTGACTCAAGTATTGATACCGCCA